ATATCCGATGTCATTGTGCAAGAGAAGAAGTGTGATTGAAGAAAACTATGTAAATTTAAGTTCACGTTGGTTTTGCAGTTTATTCAAATCGACCAGTATTTTACTTCCAGTGATTGAAGTCGGTGCATGCATGACTAGCAATTGCCTTACTTGATGTAGAAATCAGAAATTCATCTGACGTAGATTGTATATTAAGTTTGGAGTGAAAGAAAAATCCACTTTGATAGGTACTTAACGTTTTGTGAAAAGAAAAACTTCTTTTTATCTTTTTAATTTCCTACAAACTTTTTGCTTTGTTTTTGCATGTGAGCAAGTTGAGAGTTGTCCATCAATTTACTCACAGAAGTTTGAGGCTTAAGAGAAAAAGTCGAAGTTCTAGAATTGAAATATTGCGATTGAAATTATAATGAAATCTACAAAGACTTTTACACAAGTGTTCGAAATTCGGTCATGTATGATAACATATGAACTAACATCATAACATATAACATCTGAATTTGCGGTCTGACTCACGTTTTGCTACCTCATTTTCATCTATAGCTACCTTTATTTCCTGCTAGCTTAACATGTCAAGGGTGTCACTCTATGTTTCTCCTTAAGGAGATTGTGAAGTGCCGAGTAGTTTTTTATTTATTTAAAAGCGCTAATTGCATATACTAATGGGAGTTAAGCAGACTTGAAACATATGCCGCATTTAAATTTAACCTCTGAGAGATTTGTTACAAGCTATATCCATAATATCTCTGCACGTGACTTCATTCTTTGTTTTACTCTGCTGTTAATAAATGCAGGACGATCCTTCTTAGATTAGCATGATTGATGTTTTGAACGGATTTTCTATTCCTCTTCCCAAAATGTCTTTAATTTTAGTACCTCCCTGTCTGCTTAGAAGAGAAAGGAATGAGCACTAAGATTACTTTGGAAAGTAGGCAGAAGTTGCCAAGCAAAGTGCAAGATGTCATTTGCGATTCAGCTTTAATCATTCAGCATGCAACAAGTTCTTCAGGAAGTAGCGAGGTGTCCATGCGATTGTGTTCTGTACTTTTTCGAAATGTAATTTCCTTTACAGATGCTTACTTCTACGATGAAGCAATTTTGTGCGACGGAGCAGTTGATGGGCACAACTGCCGCAGTAAGAATATCTAATAACTTGACATCTCTTTGAATGTTTATGCGAATTCTTCAGTCATTAAATAAAATGGACGCATTACTGGACGCAATGCAGCAGCAGTGTGATGACGTCGAGAACAAGTGAGGATTTTTTAAAAGTTTAATTTTTCCAAAAACAAAGGACGAGCTTTCGGAAAATTACTGTAGCTTGAAATGATGGTAATTGATACAACAAATAACTGCCAGCCAATTGAATTCGAAGATTGTCTGTTCAAGAACAACGACTTATTTTGAAGAAAAGGATGAA